AGACAGAGAACAAAGGAGCAGCCACAGAACGATTTCTAAGTGACATAACAGAAACAGTCATAGACTTTAAGTGTCCTATACTGTATACAAAAGAAACTTTTAATATAAGTGCTGAAAATTAGGCAGTTAATATAAAGCTATGCAAAAAACAATTTGGAAGCTAGCACTACAATACATTTCCAGTCACTTGGGGGAACTCTTTCAGCTCATTAGGCTGTAATCACGATCAAGTCCCTGCAAGTCATGCAGGAACTAATATCTGCCTATTGTCTGGGTTCTAAAAGTACAAGAAAACAAGCACACCACTTTAGATTGCTTTCTATATACACAGAGGGTTTATCATTTGATAGTCTGAATAGTCAGGGTTATGAAGTAGTCTAATTTAAAACATCTATAAATTCAAACCATCTTCTGGATGACTAAAAGACTAAGGTAGCAGTCAATATTCTAGATCCTAGTGAAGGTCTATAGATAGCAAGCTGCCATATAAGTAATGCCCAGCTTTCTAAGGAAATTCACCATCATAATTGAAGGGGAAAATAATTAAATGTCATAAGAAGATAACAAAACAGGTACTTACATAGAAAATAACTACTGTTTATGAACCAATTCTTTTGACCACATAACTATAGAATTCAGGAATGATAAATACCCTAACATAATCCACCCTCCAGCATATTCATCCTCTCTATAACAACATGAAAGACAGTCTTACTTTGAGTTTACTTCTCAGGCAGCCTACTACATTGGTGTGAATTTCTATTAGAAAGTCCTTTGTAAAATATGGAAGGATCTATATAACCCAATGTTTTGTTAGTTCCAGTTTCTAAGGTTTATTATGATTTATGCATAGGGCCTCGTGCTTGTGTTTAATGTTCCTTTCTTGAATTCTTACTATCTGAAGGAGTCTTTTGTTTTCATTTTGTAGTGGATCCCACAAATTAAACCTGGTGACAGTGGTTCTCTAGCCAGTGAGATAATGGAGGAGCCCTTACTTTCTTCTTCTATACATATTTTTTGAAATTTTTATAACATACACTTTTAACATATATTAGAAACAAAGTTATTTTCTACTCATCAAAAAGAAAAATAAGGGAAAAATTCTTTTTCAGTATAAATGCAACATTAGAATAACACAAAACATAAAATCTGTCAACATGACAGATATTCAAATATGAACATAGCTATCTTGCATTCTGTTATTCCCTTTTAACTTAAAATACACTTAGCTCTTTCAAAACTGTTAAGTTGTCAAAGTCTGATTATTTCTTCTATCATTCTCTTAATACACTTAATTTTAAAATTTGAGATAGGGTCTTATTTTTTAAAAATCTAGGCCAATGTCTGAACAGTACTCCCATTTTATACTTCTTACTGTAGTTGGGATGGCAGGTGCCTGTTACCACACCCAATGTCTTCCAATGAGGTATCTTACATAGTTTTTTCTTTGCCCAGGCTGGCCTCAAACTGCAACTCTCCAGGATCTTAACCTCAGCCATACTTGTTATGACAAACATGTTAAAATGCACAGCTATTGGTTAAGAAGGTGTCTTGCAAATGTTTTGCTGAGGTTAGCCTTGAACCATAATCCTCCTGATTTCAGTCTCCAGAACTGACAGGATTAAATTTGTGAGCTACCACACCTGGCTCCGGGGAATATTTTTAAATTTTTTATTATTATTTTTAAGTAGTTGTACAAAGAAGGTCCCATTCTGCAGAACAGTATATGAATACAAGGTGTCTGACAACAATATCACCCATTGCTCCTAACCCATCCTGGGAATATTTATTTTTTGTTGGTGGTGGGGCCTGAATTCTGGGCCTGGGTGCTGTCCCTCAGCTCTTCAGCTCAAGGCTAGCACTCTACTACTTGAGCCAAGTACTACTTCCGGCTTTTTTGTTTATGTGGTGCTGAGGAATCGAACCCAGGGCCTCATGCATGCAAGGCAAGCACTCTACCACTGAGCCACCTTTCTAGCCACCCATCCTGGCAATATATTAAAGCAAGTTTCAGACATCATGCCACTTGATCTTGTCTTTTAGCTTGTTTCAAAAAGTCCTCAGATGAATCTGAACCTAACATAAAGCCAGTGTTAAGAACATCAATCTAAAGCACTAATTGTTTCTTCCAATTTTAGATACTTGCAAAATTGATTTCAAAAGCATCTTTTTTTATTAGACCAAAGATAATGATGAACAGCAAAATCCAGAGATGGTGTAAAAAATGATTAAAACAGCCACAACTTGAAAATGATGCTCATTATTAATGTGCTAATTTAGCAGGCAAACTAAAATGTACTTAAGTTTGACAAGTGCCTCTTTGTGTTTGTACACTAGATTGAGGACATCATGTAAGACAACACTGCTCTAGCTACAGAAGAGTCATGTAAACAAACCTAATTACAAACCAGATTTACTTCCATTCAAAGTAAAATGTTGGATTATATATTTTTTTTCCATAGCAGTAGCTGCTGGAACTTTACAAGCAGATTCTTTATCTTGTCATAGTTGTCAGGCTTACAAAGTCAAACTAGTATACCTTTGTTGAATTTTTTTATAATCTCAACTTCCTTAAATGTTAACAAAGTAATTAGTAAGCTGCCAATGAACTTAGAGATATATTCAAAGAAGAGAAAGTAGTGTGCTCCATAGAGGTTTTAATTTTTCTGATTCTATTATTTTGCTACAAGAGGACTGTGAATGCTTACTTTAGAATGATCCAATAGCCACAGCTGGCATTTTGAAAGCTGCCAACTCTGCACTAGAGCTGTGGGAAATGGTTAATAAAAATAATTTTTCTTATTGTTTTTCTCTCTGCCCATATTCCTTTCCATTATTAAGTAGTTAACAAAGAGGTTACAATTTCATAAGTCAGGTTATGAGTACAATGCATTTTGATCCATGTCACCCTTCCAGCATTCTCACCTATTTCCTCCTCCCATTCCCGCCCTAAAGTTACATAGTCTAATTTTTACTTAAAGTATATTGAATAGATTCACTACATTTGCTTTCCTCCCTCCATTCATGTGTCCCTAGTTCTCCCTAAACATGTTTCTGCTTCCTGACATTTATTTTGTTAAGCAGTTCTTTACAGGGGTTCAGAGGTGTTATAACATTTGACTCCTCTGCCGGTATTCTTTTAGACATTTACTTGAAAATTGGAGATTGTGTGTGCACATGTGTACGTACACACACACACACAGCAATTCCTTCCCTAATCAAAATCTTTGTTCACTAAAAGACTTAGTAAGTTTTTAGGGAAGCTACCAATGGCCACACATCAGATCACAATATCTTACAGAGAAAAGAAGAGGAAAAGAAGAATAGACAATCTGTTAATCACTGAATCTATATTTCTAAACACTTAACATTTAGGAAAATAGGAGAATTGTTAAAAATCTCTTATAGCTACTCCTTATTCTTCAAGATGTGTACATCAAAATACAAAAGGAATAACCTTAAGAAAATTATATAAAATATGTCAAAATTCCTAAGAGCAAAGCAAAAATCAAGTATGACATCAAATGAATAAATTCATATATACTATATTACTTTACAACATTACTTACATGAACTAAAACAAGACTATTACTTTTGTAGTTAAAAATAAGAGCACAACTAAGCCAATGACAAAAATAGATGTGATTATTCCTAGATTAAAACTTCACTTCTTTACCCTGAAGTAAGGGGGAAAACATCAAGACTATAGACTTGAAAGGGTAGAGGTGATAAAAACAATCAAGTTTTAAGTCTTAGGTCCTTTTAATTCTCTATCTTAGGTTTTCCTCTTAAACAGATGAAGATAATCCTCTTTAATAACCTTTGTCTAGTTGCTAAAATATTATAGCTATACTCTTACATTTTCAACTCCAAATAAATGAATTTAGAATGTTTGCTTTGTCCTCAATAACTGTCATCTTTTACTTTTGTACTACCACATTATTCCTCCCACTTAGAATGTCCTCCCCACTTCTTCCTACAAAACCACCTCCCAGATATTGTTGTGCTCATAGATGGATTTAATTAAAAAACAATCCAAATTGGTTTTTGGCAAAATGCTTCACAGATGCCACACTCAATTTCTGCTACCAGCTCACCAACTATTGTTATTATCACTGCTTTTAGGAAATCTTTGTATCATTTAACAGCACTTCTGATAAGCAAGGGTTGTAACAGAGCTAGTCCCAGCAAACTTCTTTAGGAGTTTTTAATATCTTCTTATTGATGGAACTTTATGAACCAAAACACCAGATTGATATTATTGCTACTGACTACCCCAGTAATAATAGATCTGTTTAATTATTTATCAACTCTGCAAATAATCATTTTAGTCCATTTGCCACTGTACACCCAACTCACTTCCCATCTCTGTTCATCCTGTCACAGCAAAATTCCTGTATTTATTCTATTCTCAAAAATGTGCTTGGCTCACATGCTTTAAGTACCTCTAGTCTCTGCTCATAGTTCTTTTCAGAGTAACTGATGTAAACTAGCAAGCCCTACCCTCCTTAATATCTTATACCTAATCTAGGCACCAGTGGCTCATACTTGTAATCCCAGCTAGTCAAGAGGCTGAAGTCTGAGGATTGCAGGTTAGAATCAGCCTGAGCAGAAAAATGTAAGAGATTCTTATTTCCAGTTAAGAAGCAAAAATGCTGGATATGGAGGTGTGGCTCAAGCGGTAGAGCACCAGATGTTGAGTGAAAAAGCTGAACAAGCTGAGCAGAGTGCAAAGCCCAAGGTCAAGCCCTAGTATCAGCACACAAATAAAAAGCACACCATACCTTACTTTATTTTAATCTTCTTCATATTGCTTATCATCACCCTTCATATCACACAGTATTTGCCTCTCTCATCTAGAATGGTATCTATCTCCCATAGGAACAGGGGTTTTTGTTTTCTATATTGTTTTTTCTCTAGCATCTAAAACAGTGTTTAGCTTATTTTTTAAGCTTCTGTTAGCTTACAATAGAGTTTCACTGTACCTTGACCAGACTCACCTGAATTACTCTCCATCATTCCCCATCCCACTCCTCAAAGCAATCTCAACAAACCTCGCTGTTATATTTTCACACATGTACATAAATCATATTCACCCTCTTCACCTCTGCTCACTTTTCTCACTCCTACTAGCATCCATACCAATAGGACCTGTTTTACAACTTGTCTTTTTAAAAATGGTACTGGGGTTTAAATTCAGGGACCTGTGCTTGCTCAGCTTGCTTGACCAGCTGGCACTCTACCACTTGAGCCATGCCTTCAGCCTACCTTTAGCTGGTTATTTTGGAGACAGGAGTCTCCTGGACATTTTTTAGTCAGTGGTGGGGCTTGAACTCTGGGCTTGGGTGCTGTCCCTGTGCTCTTCAGCTCAAGGCAAGCGCTCTACCGCCTGAGCCACAGCGCCACTTCTGGTTTTCTAGTAGTTTATTGGAGATAAGAGTCTCACCGACTTTCCTGCCCAGGCTGGCTTTGAACTGTGATCCTCCGATCTCAACCTCCTGCGTAGCTAGGATTACAGGCATGAGCCACCGTTGTCTGGCTCTCCTGGACTTTTTTGCTTAGGCTACTCCCAAACTTTGATCCTCCAGATCTTAGCATCCAGAGTATCTAGGATTACAGGTGTAAGCTACCAGGTCTCAGCTTCACTATGGCATTTTACATTTGTATATACTGTACTTTAATCAGATTGACCCCTTTCAACCATTTTCTCTTTCCCCAGTCTCCCTACCCCGTATTTTCCAATTACTTTCAGTGAGGAATGTATTCTTTCTCCATTCTATAACAGAGGGCTTGGTTTTTAAAAGGTACTAAATAAATACTCATACAATGAAGTCTGCATCCCATCACATTTAGAACTTTCTATTACCTTTTGAACTTATATAGCAATGGCAAATAAAATTGCATTATTCTGATTACAGAGTATAGGTGTATAATCAAAATCACACCAAACATCTGTATAGAGTGTTTTCATTATCTTGAACATAATCAATGTAACCATTCCAAACCAATCCCTACTTATAACATGGGAAAATTGTAAAAAAAAACACACACAACTGTTTTCACACAAACATATACAGTTTCCTTCACACACAACCAGCTCTTTTCACATACATACATAGCCTCCTTCACACAAACACACAGAGACTCCTTCACATTTACACCCAGCCTCCACATACAGTCTCCTTCATACCCACACTCACACCCACACACACCCCCACCCCCCCACCCTCCACACACACAATGGCAAATAAAATTGCCAAATAAAATGTGGCAATCTAACATAAAAGCAATATAAAGTCATAATATGTCATAGTTATGTGGAAGTGTGTCAAACATTATAATGTCTTTGATTTTCAGCTTAGTTGGTAGGCATAGTCCATCTGCTACTGTCTACAAGAGCATGAGAATCAGCTCAATAGTAATTTCTGCTTCAAAATTCGAAAATTACTAACTGGGTAACCAAAGTTACATGTATTTTTCATGACCATTCAGTAAGACAAGTGTTGCTTATAACTTTAGAAGTATCATTAAGAACTGTTCTAGGTTTGAGAAATCATATGTAAAAAGGAAACAATATCATGATAAATTATACTAAATTTTATACGTTATTCTGATTATAGAGTATAGGTGCATAATCATTATCATACCAAACATCTGTTTAGAGTGTTTTCGTTATCTTGAACAGTCAATATTACCATTCCAAACCAATCCCTACTTATAACATGGGAAAAGTAATTATAAAAAAAATTCACACATACATGCACACACAGCTTTTTTTTACACAAACATATACAGCTTCCTTTACACACAGCCAGCTCTCTTCACATACATACATAGCCTCCTTCACACAAACACACAGAGACTACTTCACACTTACACCCAGCCTCCACATACCGTCTCCTTCACACACACACACACACACACACATTCAGATACAGCCACGTTCATGCATAGCCTCCTATAAACACATACACAAATAGAGCTTTCTCACACAAAGCCTCCTTCAAAAACACAAAGCTTCCTTCAAATATACAAATAAACTCCTTCATGCACACATATAGCCTCTTTCAGAAAGACAAATATACAGGCTTTTCTATGAATATACAACCTCTTTGACATACACACACAGCCTCCTTCACACAAACAAGCTTACATTCATACCCTCCCTAAAACACACACACATACAGACACAGACACACACAAACACAGACACAGATACAGACACAGACACACAGACAAACTCTCCTTTATGGTCTTCTGGTCCCAAACAATAGCACTTAATATCTTGCTTCTTCACATCAAATATCTGCTGGTTGTTTATAAGTTGTAAAAAACTAATTTGATGCAAATTAACAATGCTTCTACAGATGAGAAAGTAATTGCAATTGAAAAGAGACACTGAAACATTAGATAATCAAGGAAGATAAAGAAGCAGGCTTAATGGGTTAAGTAGAGTCACTAGATTTGGTGGTACATATGAATATTTGTGGGTGTTGTTTTACAGTGGATGATTAAGAAAATTCCACAGGGTAACATTTAGGGTTGGCAAACCACAGTGCTCAACTCTTGGCCTGGAAAATGGAGATCTCTATAACATCAAGTAAAAAAATGACCCTTTAAAGATCTCTTTCCATGAGAAAGAGCAGCTTTATAGGAAGTTTTGAGAGATGGGTGATGAGTGTCATCATTCTGTCTTGATAGTACCACAAGTAAATACTGATTACTTACCTAGAAATCTGTTGTTTTGCTCTTTATGCCAGTCTTGGGACTTGAACACAGGGCCTGGGTGCTGTCCCTAAGCTTTTGGTTTAAGGTTAGCACTCTACCAATTGGGTCACATCTCCACTTTTAGACTTTTTGTGTGTGTAGTTAATTGGAGATGAGAGAGATTTTCCTATCCAGCTGAGTGTGAATGGCAATCCTCTGATCTCAGCCTCCTAAATAGGATTAAAGACAGGAGCTACCAGTGCCCAGCAAATCTCATGCCTTTTAAAGTACTTATGTTCCCATTCACTTTAGTGCTGTGAATTTTCAATCCTCAAGAGTCAGGTTGGGAGCCTGGAGCTGGTGGCTCATGCCTGTAATCCAAGCTACTCAGGAGGCTGAGATCTGAGGATTGCTGTCCAAAGCTAGTCCCAGCAGGTAAGTCCACAAGTCTCTTATCTCCAATAAATCCCAATAAACTGCTCAGAAAACCGGAAGTGGCACTGTAGCTCAAGTGGTAG